CTGCGTGATGTTCTTGCTGTGCTTCTCGTTGGCCATCCGGATCCGCTGCTTGGCAACCATCTTCGCGGCGCCGCCTCCGCCCGGCAGCCCCTCGGCCTCGCTCGCTTGCCTCCCGGGCCGCTGTGAGGCTCGGCTCCCGGAGCCCGCGCCGCCGCGGGCAGGAGGCGCTCGGGACGGGCGCCGGCGGCGGCCGCTGGATCTGGGCGCGACGAGCGCTAGGCGCGGGCTGACGGCGTCGGGTCGGCGGGTCGGGACAGCAGGGCGCGCAGGAGCACGGAGCGGGCGGCCGGGAGCGTGGAGAGAAAGAGGAAGCCGACGCAACAACCGGACGGTACAGCCCGCCGCCTCGAACTACTTCGGGTTCGGCTGCCAACGTCAGCACTGGGCGGGCTCCGCCCCGCGGAAGTGCGGACTCCGCCCGCGGGAGACCGGGGGCGAGCGCCGGCGCGGCCGGCCCTTCAAGCTCAAGCAGGAGGCGTCGCCGAGCTGCGCGTGCGCGCCCCGCCGCCGGAAGTGAGTCGGCCCCGAGGCTGGCGGCCCCGGAAGCACTCGCTCGCAGCCTCCACGCCTGGGGAGACGTGTAGGGGCCGGGTTCGGCCCTCGTTGAACTCTCACCCCAGCGCACAGGTTTCTTTTTCCGGGACAAGATGGCGCCTTCCACGCCTCTGTTGACAGGTGAGTTCCGAACCAGCGCGGGACTCCTTTTCTCGGGCGTGGTCTGTCTGTGTCTTTGCTCTGCAGAGCCAGCCGGCGGTCCCTGGAGTCCGACCCACGCTTTCTCATGGCTTGCGGAGTGCCTGGCCCGTCACCTGGGCTTCTTGGTCCACTGCGTGGCAGTCGGAAGTCAGGCCCATGTCTCTGGTGTCCCCCTCCCAGCTGCCGTCCGCCCTCCTCCCTGCGCTCCGGCCGCTTCAGCAGCGAGAGCGGCACTCGGCGGGCTTGATGCGGGCTGCAGTGCTGCTGTTGCGGGTACCGCGTTCAGAGACGAGCCTTGAGCTCCCGAGGCCCGCGGAGCTCCGACGGCGCGCTCCTGGCCCTGGTGGGGCTGCGGCCGGGAGCCCGTGTCGCTCGCGCTCCTCGAGGCTCCGTACCAGGGCGCAATGGAGACCTCTGGCCGACATGACGTGGAGACGGTTGTGGACGTTTTGGAAGTAGAATGTTACATGGCTCCTGGGGTTTTGAAGCTGAACTCGTTTGTACTGTTGAAGATGAGGTTTCGGACAGTGCTGGGCGGGATTCGATGTCAGTGTGAAGGAGAGGGCGTGGGAAGGGGAACAGATCTTAAGTCGTGGTCACCGTGTAGCAGGAAAGGAGAAGGCGTGAAGACGGGAGTCTGCTCTGGAGGAGGGGGGTAATCTCCTCCGAACCAAAGGGAGCCATAAAATGCTTTTCCTCTGCTGGACGCAATGCTGCACACCTGCAATCCCAGAGACCCCAGAGCCGGGGCAGGAGGATTACATGTTTGAGGCCAGCCTCAGCAACCTAGCAAGACACAGTGTCAACACCAACAAAAGGAAAACAAAACAAACAAATAAACAAAACAAAGAAAAAACTTTTGCACTTATTGCCATTCTTGCCATTCAGCACTTTAAGATCCATGCTCACTCCTGTTCAATGGAGTACCACAATTCATTCACCCAATATTTATCAAATGCTGACGTCTTATAGATAAAATGCTGGGCTGAGACTATTTAAATGGCATAATTACGTAATTAAATGATTTCCCTAGCCTCACAAACCTAACTGTATAATATTTGAATACTAAATGGCTATTTGAACTCTAGTAAAAATTAGTAGATTTTAAAAATTTTTAAAAAGTGGTATCTCACTTTTTACAATCTATTCTTCGGCTTAGGACTATTTTGACCTTTTTGTAGAGGCAAACCTCTTTTCATCTATTAAAATTAGTTTCAGATATCATTGCTCTGTGAAGGCTTTTCTCTTTCTTCCCATATAGTCAGTCACTCCCTGAACTATTTCTGAACTCCATGTGTACTTATTTTTTTTTTTTCACTTTTCACATAGGATGTACTAGACCCTTAGTTTCTTTCTTTTTTGTTTTTTGTTTTTTTGTTTTTTGGGTGTGGAGGATTTGAACTCAAGGGCAGTAGACCACTGAGCCACATCCCTGCCCTATTTTGTATTTATTTAGAGACGAGTCTTACTAAGTTGCTTACTGCCTCCCCTGTTGCTGAGGCTGGGTTTGAACTTGGGATCCTCCTGCCTCAGCCTCCTGAGCTGCTTTGATGACAGGTGGGTGCCACTGCGCTTCTTCATGTTAAGAGCAGAGTACTATTCATTCCTGCCTTCTCAGTACCTAGAACTGAACCTGAAAAGCAATAGGCACTCTAAATGTGATAGTGGAGAAATAAATTAATGAAGGGTAGCTCGTTTATTTCTTGTCAAATTTACTAAGAATGACAGGTTTCTTACAATACCCATACACAAGGATTTTCTAAGAGCTTAGAGGTTATTGTTCAGGCTGCCTCTCATATGTTCATATTCTTGGAGGCCAGAGGCATTACTTCATCAGAGTCATACTGTGGATGGCAGAGTGATGATTTTATGCGCATTATTCCATTTCATGCTCCCTTTTCTGTCACTAAAACACACTGTTTAATATTGTAAACATTCTTAGTTGGGGTATTTCATTTAATAATAGATTTTTTTTTAACTTCCAAACTCTTTTGTTAAATTAGATTCACAGGATCTTAGAACTGTGAATAATTTGGAAGTTATCCAGTAAATTTTATTAGTCACAACTTTTAGTTGGAAATGACGAAAACCAAAAAAAAAAAAAAAAAAGGGCAGGTGAGAAAGGGAGATTTTCAAAACTCACATAACCTAATAGCTTCCATACTACTGGATTCAGTTAATCACATGACTCCAAAAATCTGTCTTCATCTGTAGGCCGTGTTCCTTCTGGATTTGTTTGTTCTCAGGCTGACATCAGCCAGCTCGGGCACCTCCAAAGGAAAGAGAATATTTTTGCCATTGGTCCCAGCAAATCTAAAGACTGCCATCTTTGGCTTGTCTTGTCTCGTCTCTTACTCGTCTTTGTATTAGTTTTTCATCAGAAGTCAGGACCAAATTGTATGCTCACCTGTATTAATGTGGCCTAAAAAAGAGGGGCTTGGTGCTGGGTATGTAAAAATAGCAACATGCATTACAAGAAATTCTTTTTTTTTTTTTTTTTTTTAGAGAAAGAGAGAATTTTTTTAATATTTATTTTTCAGTTTTTTCGGCAGACACAACATCTTTGTATGTGGTGCTGAGGATCGAACCCGAGCCACACCCATCGCGTTACTGCTTGAGCCACATCCCCAGCCCCTTTAATTTTTTTAGTTATACCTGGACACAATACCTTTATTTTATCGATTGATCGATTTTTATGTGGTGCTGAGGATTGAACCCATGGCCTAGCATGTGCTAGGCAAGTGCTCTACCACTGAGCCACAACCCCAGCCCCCACAGTACAAGAAAATTTTTTTTTTTTTTTTTTTTTTTTTTTGTGGTTCTGGGGATTGAACCCAGGGCCTTGTGCATGCAAGACAAGTACTCTACCAACTGAGTTATATCCCCAGCCACCTACAAGAATTTTTTTTTTTTTTTGAGAGAGAATTTTTATATTTATTTTTTTGTTTTTGGCGGACACAACATCTTTGTATGTGGTGTTGAGAATCGAACCCGGGCTGCACGCATGCCAGGCGAGCGCGCTACCGCTTGAGCCACATCCCCAGCCCCAAGAAATTCTTGATGTCTAAGCAGCTTGCCTAGATGAGGTCATTGAAATAATTTACTTAAAATTGAGTCATTTTTCTAAATTGATGTGTAGTTCAGCAAATATAACAGGTGGGAAAAGTATATTTTAAGAATCACCATATCCCTGACATATGACCCTGTTTGTTGAAGCCCAGTGTTTTTCTAATTCTAACTCAGGCCTAGAGTAATAAATTGTATGAGCCTCAAAAAGGCTAGTAAGCTTAGAAAAGATTATGTAGATACAATAGTTGTT